CTTGCCTAGGTTCTGGAAACTGAAGCTGCTGTTGAGCATCCCACATACAGAGGATAAGGAGCATGGCTCAGAGGGGCAGAGTAGATGTGTGAGAGGTGAGCAGCACCTGCAAACCTTAAGCACAAGAAATAAGCATTGTCAAACATATGAACAATAAAGCTGTGGTGCCCCATTCTTGGAGGCACTCAAGGCCAGGTTGAATGGGGCCCCAGGCAGCCTGATCTGTGAGCAGCAGCCCTTCCCACTACAAAGAGTTTGAGCTTAATGATCTTTAACATCACTTCCAATTCAAGCTATTCTATGATTCTGATTTGCTATCTGTACTCTATGTGCATCAGGCTGCTGATGGCAGCCCAGAGCCAGCTGTTTACCCAGTGCCTGTCCATCCCTCAACTGTGGCATTTTGGCTCCTTCTCAGCCCCACAGCTCTACTCTGAAGAAAGTTGACAGTTTTCCTTCTCTGACTACCCAGAGAGGCTCTATGTGGTATTAAACACACAGTATTTGTGTTTGAGTCAGTATGTTTAAAATGTACTCTGAATGAAACAAAACAGTGTAAGGAGGTGAGTGCCTCATTCACCATATTATCTGCTCTCCCCCCATTTCGGAGTTGGGAAGTGCTGATCCCTCTTGTGTTCATTTTCCTGGAAAGTATAAGCCACTGCTGGAAAGAAACGTGGTTACAGGTCCAGATCCACCTATGGGAAGGGAGGGCTGGGAGCACTGCAGCATGGGCACTGAAGGATTTGTCGGGGTTTAATGTGGACAGGCATAGATGCAGCAGGTGTTTGCCACAGGTGTGTTGGAAAAACACTATACATTGCCAGATTTTATTGCTGATGTGCTCTGTGGTTTAGAGGTCTCACTGTGCAGTGTCTTCCAAAATCTATCTAGATTACCCAGCATGTGAAAATCTATAATTGTTTTCAGATCCCCAGTGCTCTTTCAGTAGTCTGCCTTGACATGATGTCTCATCCAATTTATAGGAGGGGGAGGTTTTTTGATATATGTATACCCCATATGAGATTAAGAAACAACGGTTCAAATGTTGGTCCGACCAGTTTATTACAAATCTTAATCAGGAAGATGGGGAAGGGGAGAAGGGCGATAGAAGAGATAGGAAATAGAAGCAAGGAGCCTTTGTAGGAAGCAAGAGGGAAATAGTCATCACCACGGATCCAGCGTGGTTCGTAGTTCAGTCACTGATCTTCAGTAGTGGTGGGTCGTCAGGCGTTGTTGTTCCATTGACGACGACGATTTTTCATTGTTAGTACCAACTTATAAATAAGTCGACTTATAAATAAGGTCGAGTCAGCTCTTTGGAGTGACAGCTCAAATCCAAAGTGGTTGAGTCAGCTCTCCTTGGAGTGGCAGCTCCTGGTTCTGAGGTCTCAGCAGAAACTCCTTTGTTCCCATCTTCTAGGCCTTGCCAGCAGGTAAGAGAGAGCAGGGATGATCACCTGCATCCTGTTTTTCACAGGACAAGATGGTATCATTCCCCAGTTTTCCCATACCAAGCTGGAGCTATTTAGTCACAGGCCAGATCTTCCACCAGTAAACATTTCTGAGCACTCTCTTTCAGAGGCAAACAGCTCTGAAGGAAGGTGCTTTTGAATGTCCACAAAGTGATATTGATTGTCACACAGTAGCACCCATCACTTGCCTCCTCAATAAATCAGTTAGAGTCTTCTCACAAGGAATACCTCAGGAAGCATGCTTTGTGCCAGAAAACAAAGAAGTGTTCTCACAGATAACAGTGCATACACTGGTTCTCATGCTCTTTTTATAGGATATAGTCTAAAATGCTGCTGTACAAAGTCTGCATCCAATAGCTGAGCAGGTAGGCTCTCCACAACTTCTTCTAGCTGCATAATGGATAACTGGAAAGTGCAGCTGATAACAGTTGCACAACAGACTGATAAGCCCCCATTGAAGCATTAGCAGGCCTGGATGACCTGCAGCATGACTGGGCTGGCTTTGTAGGGAACTCGCTCTGTGTCTGGTCCCCAGTATGAAGTTTTCTTTCTCTCTCTCTCTCTTCCAAGAAAGAACAAGTCAGCCTTTAGGGGTGACTTCTTCCAAAAGATTCAGTGCTTGATTCCCAGTCTCAGTATTCATGCTCTCTCCTCAGCAGCTGCTTAGTCCTGGACGTCTGTTTCCAAGAGAAAGCCATCTGCCAGAACTCAACTGGCAACAGCAAAGGCTGCATTCGGGCTTAGTAATGTGAGCCTGAGAGAAAGAAAAGTTGTCCAAAATGTTGTTGTTCTTGTTTAGTTTTCCCTAGTTGCAGAGAAATGACAGCAGAAGAATTGTTTTTGTTAAAAGGGACAGGAAATCTCTAACAGAATAGGTGAGTGGTTACTATCACAACTGATGTGTGGAGTGTATCTTACAACTAAACAGTTTTTACTCAGTTTTCTTCTGGTGAGTTGTACAATCAACAAATATCATCAAACCTCATACCAGCCTCTTCCAGCGCATTGCCAGTTAAACAACACCTGCTAGGGAAAAGAAAGGAAGATTTAAAAAGGAAAATAAGATAATGAAAACAAAGTGCCATTTTGAACCACATCAGTCTTGCTGCAGTAAACAAGGATGGATGACTCAAGGACCATGCTGATAAGGACATCCTAGTTAGCAACAGTTGCATTTCTGTCTCCTTTCCAGAGATTATTTCTCTCTGTTTCAGGAATCAAATCAACTGGGTTCTTCTTGTGGATTGTAAGCTATGCCAACACCAGTCAGTGCAAACCCACTGAGTTCACTGAGTTTCTTCTGCTTTCTGGCAGCATAAGTTCTGGCTTTTACTGACTCTATTGACAAATCCAAGAAGTTGCTTAATATGTTTCATGAAGCTACCTATGCACAACTCCCAAAAGAAGATCAGAGGTCTACACGAGCACAATCCCACAGATTTCAGGGCTAAGCCTGGAGCCAGTGCACACACATTACAGTGATAGAAACCAGCCTTTGTTTCTCCAGGACTTCAGGTCTCCCTGCATAATTTGAACTGGGAAAACCGATCTCATGAGTGCCTCAATGAAATTACTTTCTCCCATCTCATGAGCAAAACACCAATGCAGCCATGTGAGGAGCCACAGGCTTTGTTTTTCTCTAGGCATGCTGTCTCTGCAGGAGGCCAGCTGCCCATACACCAGCAGCAGATTAGCAGAGCTCTCTGAAGTTACACAAGCAAAGCTTCCTTTCATGCACTGAGCCTCACTTGTGGCTGACCTTCATCTCCCTGTATTCAGGACCCAACAGCATTTCAGCTTGCAACAAGGCTCGTGGTGGGGATGATAGAGGGCAGGAAGCGATATATGAAAGGGTCCATGGGTCATCACTGCAGACGGGGATATGTGTGGGAGGGCAGAAAAGAGCAAAGCAGGAAAGTAATGTAAAAAATAGAGATGAAAAAATGAAGGCAAAATTGCACAGGAAACAGCAGTAAAGAAGAAAAAGTGTTTGCAATAGAGTTGGTGCAAAAAGTGACTGCAGAGGTCAGAGGCAGTCACAGGGAAATGGCAGTGGCAGGAATATGAAGCGTTTCAGGAAATATAAATGCACTTTTCTTCCTGCCCTCAGAGAGCAATAATGACAGCAATGCCAGTGACAGGCAGACACTTGTGGGGGTGAAAAAGAAATAGTGAGAGGGGTCCAGGTAGTGTCTCAGCAAGTAGTGAAGGGTTTTCTCTTGCTGCTGATGAATGTCTCTGGGCCAGAACTCAGCCTGGGGTCATAAGGATCTCAAAAAATCAAAGAATCGTTTGAGTTGGAAGAGACCTTTAAAGGCTGTCCAGTCCAACTCTTCTACATTGACTGGGGTCATCTACACCATCAGGTACTCAGAGCCCTGTCCAGCCTGTCCTTGAATGTCTCCAAGGATGGCGCATCCACCACCTCTCTGGGCAACCTGTGCCAGTGCATCGCTATCCTTATCATAAGAAACTTCTTCCTTATGTTCAGTCTGCATTTCCCCTCTTTTGGTTTGAGACCACTACTTCCTCTTGTTCTGTCACAACTGACCCTGCTAAATAATCTGTCCCTTACTTTCTTACAGTCCCCCTTCAGATACTTAAGTATCTGAGCATTGAGCCAGGCAAAGTGAGACTGTGCTGGATGGACAGATGTCCCTCACCCACTGCTGTCTCATGGCAAGCTCAGGCAGTGACACCAGTGGCAAACAGCCAGGCTCTGGCCTTCATCAACTAGTGGACCCAGTCAGGTGGAAACTGCGTTGAGAAGTTTAATTTGATTAATAATGGTCTGCAGTGGCAAACAAAAGAAAATTGTGCTTAACAAATTATATGGAAACTTACAGTTGCTGAAGTGGGTGATATTAAGACCAGACAGGCAGATGCCGTGGGTGTAATTTACCTGGCCTTCAGTACAACCTTCAGTATAGAATAAATGAATACATTCAATTTGCATTTATATAGCTCCTTTTCATCCTCACACTGTGGCAAATCACCTTACAAACATCTCATGGGCTGTTTGAAACTTGTGTCCAGACAAGCTGAGAGGAAATGAGTCTTGAAGAGACTGTGAGCTGCAAACTGGGGATGTGCGTATTTTAATGCAGATACCCAAATGTCCATGGTCTGGTCACTTGGTGACTGGATATAAGACTGCGAGTCACTTAGAAAACTGCAGAAATGGATTTTGGCTGGCTAACTCACGCAGGCTCTCCTTCTCTCCAACAGGAAGCCCTGCTCCTCCAGGCCTGGCCACAATGGGGAAGCTGGGGCTTGTCCTGGCACAGTGTTATCTCTACTGAAGAGACATTCTGCCATCCATTTCCCAAACTTAATGGCCAAATAACAAGAGCCAGTTTATGGCACTCACAAGAAATGGACACAATGGATTCTTAAAGGTTTTGCAAAATCACTTCAGCTGTATTTTGAGAATCCAGTGTCACTGAGCTTTTGCTTGCTGAAGAAATATAGTGAAAAAATTTGGAGATGATGAAATGGGAAAATTATTTTTTTTTTCCTCCAAGCAATTCCTCCAAGCAATCTCCTGCTTTTGATAACCAACAATGTAGCATTTGTGTAGGAGAGCATTTTGGATGCATGGCAGTATGAGCGTTCCATGGTGTTTTGCAGTTCTTGGTTATTGGTTTATCCTGGGGGCTTACAGCATTCCATTATCACCAGCACTTCTGTAGTCCCACGCTAGCACAGGGCTATGGCACTCTGCAACTGTATGACACTGCAAACCTGGATGAAGAAGGAAAATTTCTCATCAGCTTAAGTGGTTCTAGCCTAGTTCTTGTAATTTTTTAAAATAAGGGGACCTTCCCTGATCTTTTGTATTGTTTTTAACATTATTTTGTTTTTAAAGCTGTATAAAGTGCTTTGCCAGCATAAATAGCAGTAACTTAAGGATCTGTATCAAAATTTTCTCTTCTTTAGTAGCTCTCTTATTCCAAAAGCATTTGTATATGGAAAAGTGATGAGAAATGGCACTAGCAGCCAAAGACAAGCTGTCTACAGAGTCTGATTTCAACAGATTATTTTTATTAGAAAACAGTGGGGAGTGTCTATGAATGACAACTGGGAAAGCTCTTTCTCCACACTTAACTCCACATCAATCTTAAATGAGTATCTCCTTCAAGGCTTATCTCATCTGCTCCAGTTTTAGCAGCAACTTAATAAAGTGCATTTATCACTTCTTCTCCACCTAAAAGCTTGGCTAGTTCTGCCTTCACGTGGCTCCTTACGTGCATGTCAACCTTGACCCCCTTTTCCTAAAAATGCACTGATTAATTTTTGTTGAAGAGCATTTCCTTCTTTCTCAGTCCTTGAGAGTAGCCTCACTGGACACTTGTGTTGGTACACTAAAAACTGTTCATTTTTCCTTGGTTCATCTTTTATTGAGGATTGATAATGGTTGTAAAAGGGTATTTGTGATCCATCTGCCTTCATCTTCCAGTGCTGTAGGGCACAGGCATGGTGAGCAGTGTTTTTCAGCAGGGCAACTTTTCTTTCTTCCAACACCAGCTGATGGATGTGCACAGAGACTTTGGGGCACGCTCCTCAGCTGGAGCTACAGTTTGCCTAAAATCCCAGGTGCTGCATAGATATTAATTAACTTTGATGTTGTTTAATGGTACTCAGTGTGCATTTTAATGAGACGTACCTCATAACATGTGTCAGGCCCAGGTCAGGTTGTGCTGTCACCTGAAACTCCACAGGAAAGAAAAACACACCTTTAGATGATGGAAGAAAAATTTGTCTTGGTACTATGCAAAGATCCACTATATTTTTCCTTCTGCTTTTCATTCAAAATACTGATACACTAAAATGTTCTTGTTACACTAAAATGAGGTGGGAATAACTCAGACCACAGAGTATTTCTTATTTGTTCTGCATTATGGGCTGGCCTCGGGGCATCTTCTCTCCATCCCGTTCCTATGAGGGCCAACCAATTCTGACTTCTGAACTCACTCCTTTTCCTTTGCCCTGTCTCTTGAAAAGGATAGGAGAGAGTGGGGACCCAAATTTGCTGGAGGGTGCAACTTTCACCTGAAGGAGGTCTGACCAGACCTCCAGTGCTGCCAGCCCTTCTCTATCCTTCCCTATGATGTGCACATTTTCATGATCGCAGCTCTCCTTTTCTGCTGTCAGCAGCTGCCCTAGGTGCTACAGATGTGTATTGAGGAGCCCATTCAAGCTAAAGGCGGATAAATGGTTTCAGAAATTAGCCTTGACTGAGTCTCTGAGGTGAAAAATGGAGGCATTTCTCTCATACGTGTTAGGACTTGCTCAATGTATGCTCTGCATCCACTGTCCAAAGCCACTGCTGCTCACTTGCTTTGTTTGGACTCGATGGCATCAGTGACATTCATGTTGGTTTTATGTATTGGAATAATTTGTGGAGTAACTTTTTTTAGCATCACTTTATTGACTGCTTATTAGGCAATAAAAATTCCTGTTGGCCCACCAATATAGAGCACACATGGGCTGCCCAGCTGCATTAGGAAGAATATTTAATAACCAGCAGTCCATCTGCCTCAGCAATGGGAAGGAGGAATGAGCAGGAGAACCTTTTCATGTTGGAATAGGGAGCCTGTAATAAAAAAGAAGAAAAGAAATAAATGACTGAGATGGCATTCAAAACAGACACATACAGAGGGATATTATCACACAAAGACTTGTAAGAATTATTTGAGAGAGGCAACTGGTGCTGTCCCTTGCCCACCACTGGGAGCTGACTTTTGTCTTTGCTTTGTTCTACCCACAGTGATATATATGGGGGCAAGAAATGTCTTGACAAGAATCTAATCTCATGACAAATACAAAAGTAATACTATGCTGTGTTATAACTGTAGTTCAGCTTTATTGCAGGTCCTGCATGACAATGTTCAGCACTCTCAGGCTGCCTTTCAGGGAAGGTACCTCATCCAGGAAAGAGTTTGCAGAGAATATCCATGGTGGTTTCCTCACTGCAATGTATGTTAAACTCTTACTTAGGTCAAAGCTGCTGGGAACATTAAGGTCTGTCTGTGGTCTTTCCATAGAGACAGTAGTGCTCATCTGCAGCAATTGCTTCACACCTGGAGGAGCAGAAGTATGTTTTTTAACTCAGCAGAGGTTACTGAAGTGTTGGCTAGATTTAGGAGCAGACTGGCTAAGCTCATGTCAATTTTATTAGCATTAAAAGAGCTTAAATTCACATCTGAAAATATCATTTATGAGTTCTGACTTCTATTTTTTTCCAACTGCATGACCTTCATATCTTCACTTCGTTTCTGAGCTTACTGGGCTGTCAGCATATGTGTATCCTGAGAGTTGAGAGATAAATAATTATGAATGATCTTTCATGTTTACTGTTTGAGTAAGATCCAAACTGTTCCTGTGCAGAAGGAGACAAAGGCAGAATATTTGTGCAGAAAAAGCTGTGTCTACATGATCTGGTAATGCAGTCTAGTAGGGATAGATTTGTAGAGCACTGGAGCTCCAAGGTCCAAAGCCAGACTATCCATGCATCCACATTCCATGATATTCATGGATTAAGATACTTCCCTTCAGAAGATTCCAGTCCAGACCTGTCAGCGGCCAGTGGAGATTGGAACAATGCGGTATGGATGTCTCACATCTCCCAGTTTAGTTTAATTGGAAGAAAATCTGGTTTGTGCACTCGGTAGTTATGATGTGTTGCAAACCAATGTGTGTGAGAAGTGAAATGAAGAGGAGATTTGCTTTAAAAGCTCTCTCCTCATTTGAACAAAGATTTGAACCGATGAAGGAAAAAAACCCACATCAATTAAAGAAGAACACACGTTTCCACACTTAGTTCTCACATCCAGGAAGAAAAACAAATAAAATAAAAAAAAGAGTGAAGAGAAAATTCACAAGTTTGTTCAGCACCTGTTGCAGCATCAACTGTGCTTTCTGATGCATAAATGAAGTGGGAAGCCCTCACTTCAAGAGGTACTGGGGAATCATACACTTGTCAGTCAGCTTTGAAGTATGACCAATCAGCAAATACCCTGGAGGTCTTACTTTATTAAATGAAAATTGCAATTTAGGTTTTAGGTTCTACATTTATAATAAAATTTCCCCCTTGGTTTTAAATTCCCATTCTTGTTACTCTCCAGCTGATCTCCAGTCTGAACAGGTGAAGTTATATCCCTGCTTCATGAGACTGAAGCAGCACATACTGCACTGGTGAGCATTAAATACCAATCGTTAGATGTCCTTGAAGAAATCTGGAAATCTTCTGCCTGTAAGGACATGAAAAAGTGTTAAAGCAGAGAAGATAAATTGTGTCTGACAATAGGCTGTAGAACGAGGCTTCTCTGTGAAGAAAGACCTAATAAATTAAAGGTGACTTGCAAAAGCTTTCCTTTTGAAGGAGATAAATTCAGAGATTTGCCTTGCAAGAGGCGCAGGTACTGGAAACTCAAAGAACCCACCTGTTGGCGGTCTGTCTCCATCTTCTCGCACTGCAATCTCTTGCAACAAAGGGAGGCTGTAGCAGCTCCTGTAGAGTTGGTGCTGCCAGGTGCTGGAGGAGCCTTGTGTGCAATGTGGGCAGCGCAGCAAAGCTGGATTAGTGCTAAGGGGGTCAGTGCATACCAAGCTCCACAGGGTTAACAGAAGCTGAATTTAAAAATGAGCCACCTGTGGTACACATTTGTGGCTTCAGTATTTGGTGTATTTTGGTCAGAATCTGTCTGAAGCACTCGGTAGAGCTTAAGGAACTGCATGGCAGGGAGGAGAAGGGACGGCAAGAGCAAGGCTGAGATAGCTGCAGGATGGCTGGGTTTCAGGGTCTGCATCAGGGTCTGCATTAATTTTTGGAGCACTCCTGCAGTAGACAAGAGATAAATCCAGACCCTCTAAATGTTTCTTGGCCCAGAGAATTGGAGACCTTATAGTGGCCTTGCAGTACCTGAAGGGGGCCTACAGGAAAACTGGGGAGGGACTTTTTAGAAGGGCAGATAGCAAAAGGAAGAGGAGAAATGGCTTTAAACTGGAAGAGGGTAGATTTAGACTAGATATCAAGAAGAAATTCTTTACTGTGAGGTGGTGAGACAGTGGAACAGGTTGCCCAGGGAGGTTGCGAATGCTCCCTCCCTGGAAGCACTCAAGGCTGGGCTGGATGGGGTTTTGAGCAACCTGGTCTAGGGGGAGATGTCCCTGCCTATAGCAGGGGGTTGGAACTAGGTGATCTAAAAGGTGCCATCCAACCCAAACCATTCTATGATTCCATGATTCTATGATTCATTCTGTGATTCATTCAATAATGAAGGTCGGAGAGGTGCTTGGGATCATCCAGTCCCACAGTGGGAATAATCCCCAACCAGCGCTGGTTGCTCAGAGCCTCATCCAGCCAAGTTTGGAGAATCTCAAGGAATGGAGACTCCAGGACTTGAACTTTCCAATGCTGATTTTTTTCCTCTTCTATTGTCAAAAATTGTCCCAGTTGCAGCCTGTGCCCATTGCTCTAAATATTGTAAGGCTGCAGCAATGTCCCGCATTCAGCTGCTTCTCCACTGCAGTCAGCCCCAGTCCCAGGGCTGTCCCAAGTACAGGATTTTGCATTCATCTTCGCTGAACTCCAGGAAGCTGCAGGGGTCCCATGGGTTCCAAGCCAGCCGTTTTTAGAGCAGACCTCAGCTAGAAAAGCTAATGAAGACTACCACAGCAAATCCATTAGGAACTGTCACTGAATTTAGAGGAAAGTACGAATGGCAAGGAAATCCTCCAGAGAACAGCAAGAAAAAGAAAAAAGGATGTGAAAAATAAAGGCAGTCCCAGTTCTTTCACTCCTCTCACTTGATGAGACCTCAGAGCTGCATGGATCCTATTCACTGAGTACCAGTTTCTGACAGACTATGGTTGCATGCAAAAGCACATTATGTCTTAGCACAGTTTGCAGCTGTGATCCCTGAAACAGAGACCTTTAACACTTCTAAGAGATATGAAACACAAAGAAAGCTGTCCAGTCTCTGGGACCAGCCACTTGAGGGAGCCAAGATTACGTACACTGAGAGCCAGCTGATTACATAAACACTTTTGAAGTGTTGTAGCTGGAACCACTCTTTTTCTCTAATGCTAAATTTGTTTGGTCAGAAAGCTCTGAGAACTTCTGTCTCAGATTTCAATGCTGTGTAATTTGGCTTCTAAAGAACGACTTGTGGTATCTTGCTGTAGCTGTGTTGAGTCTGTCCCCCTGGATGACTTTTGGTTGCGTGTCTCAGTTTCAAACAGATTTGATAGCTGTTAAGAAGTCTCAGCATTAATTTTCTACAAATGAGTGAGTACTGACAAAACAATCATGAAAGTGAGTAGAGAAGTGCTGTCTTTTTATGAAATCAACAGGATTAGTGGGAAAAAATGCACATCTTGTGGCCCACAATGTTTTCTTCAGATCCTAGATCAGTATCTCTATTTTAAACTTTAAAGGCTCAACAGAAGAGAAAGTTAAAGGAGAGCTATAGGAAATCACTTAAAAGTCACAGGAAATCGGGATCCAATTGTCAGAGAGATACCCATTCAAATGCTACACAGCTACCAAGACAACCTCCCTTTCTGTCTTTACTGAATTATAATCTTCTATGTGTGTGTTATGGACAAAATAGGTTTTGCAAAGTTTCTTGACAGAAAATGGTAAGACAAGTTCCATTTAAAATGATTTTCGGGTTTCAAAAATGATTGCTACAAACCTATGGAAAGTGACAAGACAACCCTTTGATTCTACTTATGATTCACACCCACGCATGCTAGGGAATAGTGCTGGCATTTTGTCAGCAGTGTTGCATTATGAGCTCTCATTTGTGTTCCCTTTTTTCCCCAGGTGGATTTATTTCTTGTCCACATCAAAATGCAGAGACTGCTCCATTCATCAGGTCCATGGCATACAAAGGAGATATTATTGACATGTATCTTCTATCCTAGCAAGGAAAACTGAGAATCAGAAGAAGCATTCAGCAAGCAAACAGGAACAGATGCCTGAAAGATCTCATATCAGCAGATATAGTATCAATAAACCAGTAAGTAGCAAATGACAGCACTGACATCTTTCCTATACGTACTGAAATACAAGCCCAGCCAATGATGTCATCTGACTCTTAAGAACGAGTTCAGAAAGGCTCCACTGGGGGCTGGGACATGATGAACATATGACAGAACAATGATAATAAGCATCCTGCCCCTTGCCCACAACAAACTTCTCTTCTGAATAGACAGATGTCAATTTGACCCAATTGGTTTTTAAGAAGAGCTCATTTTGTAATGCATATCTGTGTATCTCTCTTTCTCTTCTTTAAGTGTATGTAAACACACATAAACAGATACAAATGTCTATTTCTGTCCTCAGGGTGGAATGGCTTGTAGGTAAAATACCTGTAAACGAAGCCTCCTCCCAACAGGCCCAGGTATGCACTGCAGATGCTGTTGCAAAGGACAGAAGCATCAGCACCATTCACCTTGTGTTTTCTTGTCCTTGTATTCAAGAAAAAATGTCCCTATAATTAGAAAGCAGAATTAGTACTGAAACAATTTTCACATCACTGGTCCTTCAGCCTCCTCAGATATTATTTGTGGTATCTGCTTTCATGCAAGAGGATGGGACCAAATAAAAGCAATCACAAGGATGGAAATGTTCTCAGCAGGAGGAAAAGGGATTATAAAAAAGCAGAGCAAAATGACTTCTGAATGTTTTGTAGTCCTGAGCATCCATATGCCATTTGAGCTATGTAGAGTGTTAACGGATACAACTAAAAATAAAGAATACATTATTTATTAACTTATTAGAGCTTTTAGAAAATAGGAGCTGAATTCACTTAGCTAATAAACTACCTCAGATCACATCCATCGGAAGATATATTCATATGAATTGGATGAGGTGTGCATTTGGTCTTTATGAGGCCACTTAGGAACCTAAAGTTACTTTTTTCTTCTAGGAAAAATACATGGAATAGTTCCATTTTCGAACATTTTATGAAGTCTATATGCTATTCTATATCTGCCCCTGTCCATGCTCCTCCCTGCATAAGTTTGTGTAATTCCAGTTTTATTTCGGAACAAGATTCGTTTGTAATCCAAAGGATGTGATATCACAGAGCAGATTAAAGCAAGAAAATATGCTGTTGAGAACATAGCATGAAGGCTATTTACTGGGGGTCTCATGACCTTCCAGCCCTTTATGATGAGCAGAACAAACCAGTGAATGTACCAGGATGTAAAGAGTTTACAGTCTTGACAGCCTGGACCTGCTCTCTCAGACCACATTCCCACACAGCCTGCATTTATATTCATGTCTCTGTCTAGCTATGCTGAATGGAGGGAGATTAGCAAGGTGGGCTAGAGTGCTGTCATGGTGTCTTGTGCTGCGGTCAGATGTCTTTTGCAGTCCAAGGAAAGAGCTTCGTGGGTTCCTGGAGAGGCCTGGTCTGTCTCCACACTGCTCTGAAGGATATAGGCCAGGTTCAGAAGCAAGGTACGGGTCTTGAATATTTTCATAATTTTTGCATTAACTAGCAAAGTGAGAACTACTCTTGTTAAAAGTCATTTCATCCACATACATGGAGGTTACATCAAAGGCAACAGGAGATGAGGACTTCAGAGCCTATGCTGCCTTGTCCAGGCTGTTAGGCTGGATAATCCTGGAAAAGGCTTTCCTTTAGTCCAGGGCAAATTCAGAGTAGGAGCCCAGGCCTAGTCTTCCACAGGTACTGAGTAAAGCTCTGCTCTTACCCTTCTCCCATGCTCCAGCCATTCAGTTCCCTGACCTGGTGACAATCATCCCTGCTCTGCACACCTGGGCCAACTCAGGATGAACCACTCATATGGAGATGAAGGGCAGAGAAGGAGAAAGGATGTATCAGAATTATGGAGACCATCTTCCGCAAAGGGAAAAATCCTCGATGAAGAAGAAAGCCCATAAACCACATAAAAGTTTATTTGGTGACTAAGGAGGAAGAGAAAAAACATATATATTCTCTACAGCTCTTACTTTCAATACATGCATTACATATTATTTATTTACATAATTACCCATTGGTATTGCTTTTTTTACAACTTCACTTGGAAAACTATGCTGTGTGTTGGCCTAAGCATCCAGTCTGAACACAGAAGTGCCACCTGGGTGCCTAGAAATAATTCTGGTGCCATTGGTCAATTTTAATTGTATTTGACAGGCTGAAGTTTGAGAGAGAACGTTTCTTCCAGTTATTTCAAGCAAATGGTGGGTAGGTACAACAAACACCAGTGGCTGTTCCAGGCTGAAAGCTAAACTCAGCCTTAGAGAAAAGAAGAGGGCTTTACCTCTTAGTGTAGGCTTCATGTTTTTTCGTGATGCACAGAATTACTTATTGTATGATTTGCTTTCATTACATTTTTTCCAGATGTCCAGAGACTGTAGCATGCAATGTAATTGAAAGTTCAACCATTACTCATGTTTTAAAAAGAAATCCTTCAAAAAAATTGGGTTTTGTTTTGAACTCCAAGGTTTTATTTTTCACATTCAAAGAAAAAAAAAAAAAAAACACTTTTTTTCTTGTTCTACCAATAACATTATATTCCTTCTCAGTTTTGAAAAGGTCATATCACCTGATGTAATAATTGCATGCAGCTGTTATGTAATTGTTCCTCATGTTTCTATAAAAGGCAGTAATTGGAAGAGTTTCTTGAATGTTATTATGCAGCAGGTGCCTCCTGGGGACAACAACAATAGCTATTCATCTGGAGGCAACAGTTCCCATAGGGAGCTTAGGGTTGCCTGTGGGAGACGCCATGGACCTGGGAAATTATGTTCCCCATCTCCTTGCCATGCAGACAACAGCAGAGCGTGGGTAGATGAGCTTTGCCAGCTCCATCTGTCCCACAGGCTGGGTGAGTCAGCTTGGGAAGCAGCATGCATGTGCACACAATGTCCCTCTTGCCAGGACCAGGAGCAAGGGTTCCACCAGCTAGAGCCTGCAGCCAGCATCATTCAGTTCTTCTTTCATATCACCCTGGGACCCAAATTTTCCTGGGACCCTGGGTAGGGGAAGAAGGAAAGATGTGGGGCTCTCCATCCCTGCTTCCTGGAAGACTCACGTTGGGAATAACTAGCAATACGTGACCTTCCTTTGCATGTCCTGCCACCGACAGCAAAACCCACTTTTCAAGCCCACAGTACTGTAGTTCAGTCTTCTCCCTCCAGATTTACTTAGGAGTGGTGAAGTAACACCTACTATTTACATATCACATTTAGATTAGATTCAGATTTCAAGGCCAGGCTGGATGGGGCTTTGAGCAACCTGATCTAGAGGGATGTATCTCTGCCTATAGCAGAGGGGTTGGAATGAGATGAGCATCCCTTCCAACCCAAACCATTCCATGATTCTACGATTAGAAAACTGACTTCAGACCTGTACTTTAACAGTCAGTGTTCATGAGTGTCTGTTCCGATGGGCTGTAGAGCAACATAGTATTTTTCCTCCAGATGACTGAATTGGGTTGCACTGACTTCCATCACCCAAAGGCTAGCATGAACAAGATAACTGATTTATACAGGAGCTCCCAAGAGAGTAAATACCAAAATAAGTCACCTGAGGAGCTCTCCTGCACCAGAGAGCAACCTAATGCTAACTGTGATGCCTGAGTAAATTGCAGCAGTCATCTGTTACATTTCATCCAGCCATTCTGCTCAGTTTAATTAACCTTTCGGGAATTAGCATTTTGTGGACTTAGGATACCTGCTCTGAATTTCTGGCAGTCATAGAAGCTCTGTCATAGCTGCAGAGTGACTTGTCTCAGTCAGAACGAGGTGATACCCAGCAGTGCCTTTAAGGACAGGTCTCTGAGCAGCAGGAGAAACCAAGGGCAGCACAGAGGGGTTGAGGCAGTCTGTACCTCTGCAGGGGCTGCTCCATGCCCCACCACTCAGAAACTGTTCATTTCCCACCCCTGTGGGCTGCAGGTTCTTCACTCCTTGTAAAGTCTCCTGAGCACACTTTGTCCTCGTTCACCACTTTGCACTTACTTACAGCCATTTCCAAGCACCTTTTTAAAGTTGGCAGCTGCTCTGCCCACACTTACCAATCAAAGACTTGTATTGTGCCTCTGAAAAACCATGAGGCAACAAGCCTGCTGCTCACAAGAAGTAGTGCCCGTCACAGGGGAGCACAGCCCACACAGGTGCCCACCGCTGTGCCATAGGCTGCACCTACCCATGTTCCTATATTCCCACCCTTATACCCTGCCTACTGCTTGAGCAAGGCATTGCAATATCCGAGAAAGCATCTGGCCAGGAATGAAACATAATCTTGGCTAAGCAAAACGTGCTTGCAGCTATCCAAGTATCATTTTGGCCTTGGGATGCAATATTGCCCAGATTCCTTGTGTTATGCTGTTGGAAATACCTCCACTGAAGGTGTCCTTCTGAACAGGGCCATGCTGCTACTCTCTCCCTCTCACCTTTTTTGCCCTACCTATAGCCTGTGCCTTTTCCCCTCTTCGCTTACCTCAGGGTGGTACCTTAGGAATCTCCAAAAGAGAGTCTGACCTCACTGGAAGAGGACTGTTTCTCCTGACATTGTCTTAGCCAATCTTGTACCATTAACCAGTCTCAGACTGTTCTCCATGTTAAGCACATCCTCACTTGCTCCCTTGGGGGCTGAACCCCATCTCTCTGGGCCTCTCCTTTCCTCCCATGTGCTAAGAACCAGGCAAGGCAGTGTAGGAGCACCCAATGCTCTCTGCAACAAAGCAACTTTGACCTCCTACCATCCACTCCATGGCAGATTTTCTCCCTGCCTCTGAGAACAGAGGAAAAAAAAAAAATAAATCAATGAGGCTTTCTCAAATAATTCTGGATTGTGTTCTGGGCACAGAAAAAGCACATTAAAGATATCCTGGATCAATAGGGTTCATGCAACATTAGAGCATCACCTGTTAGTCCACTACTAATGCACTTTCATCTTTACCTCTGGTCTGGGGGATTTGCCTGTAAGAACAGCGTTCTCTAGAAAGAGTAGGAAGGGTATTATCTGTGAAAAACAAGAGGAAACACAGTTTTTCCCGTAATCTTATGTAATTATTAAAAAAAAAAAAATCAGTTTCCCTTCCCCACCAGAGATCTATAAACTTCATATTGAGAAGTATGACTTTAAGAATATACACAAGAAACACATAAAAGAGAATATTTTAAAAAAAATAGACCTAGGTCACATAGAAAGCTAATGCATAGACATACAGCCATTCTCTTGGTAATATAGCAGTCACTTTAGAAGACAACACAACATCTCCACCCTTTACAGCAGAAAAAAAAATAGTCAAGTAGTCTGCTATCAAAGGAGTTATCTTCAGCACATTTTCTGATTGCAGTTTGGTGTTTTGTTTTTTTTTTTTTTTAATCCCATCTCCAGGTGTATCAGTCTGTGTGAAACAGAATTATTGCTGGTTCATAAAGAAAGGTGATAATTTAAAGCACATTTTGGCTCTTTCCCTTGAGGGAATTTAATTGAAAAGTTGTTCTTTCCAACTGCACTTTTTAATATTGCTGGACTACTCTGCCATTCAATGTGGGAGGGCCTGATTTTTCTGACACGTTGCTTGAGATTACATTTACTTGCCTTCTTGCATGCTTCCATTTCTTGGAAAATTCTTTTGTAGAAAGTGATATCTTCAATTTCATACCAATCTGTTATTTTTTAAGAAAGTGAATAAGGCTCAACTCAGTGGCTCGTTCTGGATTTACAGGGAATGAGGGTTCAAAAGAGCCTTTGCTCCGTCTGGCTGATACGTTTCCTGTACACAGAGCCCAGTTTCAGAGAGTGAATTTGCAGTAGTTACTTTGCCAGGGAAAACATTTCATCGTTCATTAGTTTTTATAAATAAACTCAAGGTTTGAATCAGCAGTCCACCTACACTGTTTTGTCAACAGAGTTACAGCAGAATGGTGCTGGTACCCTTGCCGTGGGCAGAGCTTTTGCCCACTACATCAGGCTGCCCAGGGCCCCTTCCATCCTAGCCTTGAATCATCACAAGGCACTGGAATACTGCTTGTTGGAGTCTAGTTGTATGTATTTTTTTTTCCTTCCAATAAAATTCTTTATTTTAGTGTCTTATTTATTCCCCCCTTGTCTTCCTCCACTCCAGGACAACCCCCATATTATTCTGAGTAAGTGTAGAGATTGGCATCTTAACAAAAGCAATAGGTCACTTTCCTTCCGAAATGCACCAGGTCATTGATGGAACCCCACGAATAAGAACGCCTTGGTTGGGTTGCTCAGGCTTCATTTCTTCCACTAAAGACACAAGAAAATTCCCACTGTTTCTACAGAGCCATTTAAATTAGCCATGTACCAAATTCTTGCTGATCTAAAAGGAGAGACAAACCTTGAGCTCCCTGGAGGTCTGTCCTGTTTGATGGTCACCTGCCTGACTCCTGCTCATGGCAGGGACCTGGCTTTCAGGAAGTCCTCTCTGAGCACCAACCATAAAATCAAAACAAAAGAGCACAACAACAACAGCCAAACACCTCACCTTTAGTTGTGTCTGAGTTAAGCCTCTACATTCCTGAAACATTTTATTTATGACCTTTTGCATTTTATTTTACATTGTCCTTCAGTTGAGCAAAGCGCATGAAGTGGTGGCTGCTCTGAAGATGATGGATGAGGCTCCCTGCTGCTTGCAGCCCATGAGTCATTTGCTAATTTCCTCAGCTAAAACTGACAGACAGTTACCAAGCATTTCATCACAGCCAACCAGGCCTTTATTTCTGAGCTGGCTGTCAATCTTCTGATAGCAGTGACTACAAAAACTGCTGCCTACAACACTGTCTCTCAAAGCTTTAATATTTTATCACTGTTGCTTCAAGTTCTTGCTCTCTTTCCTCCACAAGCATTAAGATCCTTTGACTATACAATAGCACAATACACTGAGCCTTGCATCTTCACTGCTCTAGCTATTCGCTCTGTGTCTGCTTCTTCACAGCACATTACTCAAGAACAATGCTGTTAGGAGAATATTTTATTGGAAAACACCTCCTTATTGGTGGATGCTTATTTTTGAAACTCTTTCTAAAGGGATCCCAGAGGATCTGCTAATTGCAGCATATGATTTCTAATATAAACTCAGCACATGTGAGTGTGTGTTTGTGCCTGGTAGCAGCTTCCAGCTGTGACAACCACCAGGGCAGATCCTGGCACTGCTCCTCAGTTTGAACAGGTGCTGATATGGGGCAGTGGCTGGATGTGCTGCCCGGAGGAGCAGTGCTGCTCATGTGTTTTCAACTCCTTGGCCTCTCTGGGAGGTCAGAGCTGGGAGGCTTCCCCCCGATGTGCACTTTCAATCCTTGTCCAGACATGTTTAAACAAATCAAATGCCTCATTTTAAAGGAGCATGATCTTCCCATGCAGAGGCTGCAGATGTAGCTCACTGCTGTAAAAGGAAACATCCTCTTTGGTTGGATAAATAATGCACATCCATGCAGTCAGTCGGAGCTGACATGATCTCAGGATGCTTCCATTCCCAGGAGAGCCTCATGAGTGCCAGGCTCTGCAGTTTGATTTCTTCTCCTCTGTATGCTGCCACCTCCCTGTCAGCTTCTTAACTGTGTTCAAATGCTAAATCCCCATCAGAATATAGCACAAATAAAGTAGCTGGGACAGCAGGCTGGGAAGAGACTGCACAGGTCTGGTAGTCATGACACATATCTGGGCCAGCTTTACAGGCTGATAAAATTCTGTGTGAAATTTAATAATTACTTTAGCCTTTATTGCTCAAATCTGCATCAGGGTAAACTTTATCTCTGACCCTCTTAAAACTGTGTTTATCTCCTGGTGGTTTTTTTTTTTCCCCCACCTGGCATTGAAAACAAGCATACCTCCTTAGTAAAAGGGCCTTTCTTCTCCTCCATGGCACATCCCCTATCCCTCTGCCTGTCCTCTTGGCCTGTTTGCACCTGCATCCTCTGAACTGCATTTTTAAGACAGCAATCGGAGCTGCACAAAGTGCTCCAGGCTTTGCTCTCCCTGCTGAAAACACCTGGAAGCTTTACCTTGCTGTATCACCTGGAATGTAGAGGAATGCAAAAATGAACCTAAATCAGACATCATTGGAAAGTTAAAATATGACGTTAATTAATCTAGTCTCAAAATCCCACACAAACCCCTCTTATTTTTGGCTAGATCTTAACAGCTGGCAGAAGCTCAAACTCTAGAAACATTTCAGCTTCTTATTTACTCAGCTAAAAATAGCTTTCAGTGTTAAAGCAGCCTTTTGTGTTAAACCGCTTTTGTGTATGTGCAACTATCTAGATATACGTGTATAAATGTTATATGTAGGTCACTCCGAAAGTGATGCCTCCTATTTATTTCCACAGAAACTACAACAAATACAGAGAGCACAAACCACTAGTTGATAGAACAAATTCTCAGCGACTAAACCCTATTTTCAAGTCACCACCATTAGCTAGGCATTTATGCCAGCAATAAACAAGAACCTGCATGCTGTACTCATCAAAATCTGCACCAGTTAGGGTGACCCACTGTCACCACCATTGCTGCTGTACCACCCACCGCCTCACTATGCTCACATACATCTGCTTGTTGGTCTCCATAAACCTTCAGCAAGCATTGCTGAATGCCAGCAGGGACACTTTTCTACACAGAGGAATTCAATGACACAGCTTTGCTTCAGATGCTCTTCCATGTCAGAAACCACTTAGTCAGACTGCCCCTCTACTGCCTCTGTGGTGTATAATCAATGAACATACAGATATCATAATTAAGAAATATACAGGAAAGTTAGGCTAAGCAGGTTATCACTCTAAAGAAAAATAGATGGAAAACTTACCCTTATCCTGGGTCCCTGAAAAGACTCCAAGAGGAGCAATCTCCAGAAGAGATCCTGCCCCAGGGGTAGCCAGCTCTTAAATGGGGTCTAGGAGAGGTGCAGCCTGGCTCCACCCCTTCTGATAGCACAGGAGAATTGCCTTCACCTGTGCTCCTAGGGCTGACTCATTGCACACCTCAGGTGGTCAATCAGAGGTTCAGGCTGTGATTCAGCAGTTCCCACACACATGGCAAGAAAATGTAATGGGATACTGGATAAAAAAGGTTCAACTCTACTGCCATACCACCAACATGTGTCTCTATTGTCACAGGCCAACATCATAAAATTGGGGGCATTACTTTTGGAACAGTCCTTATGTACACACAGATAGAAATATATACACATGTATGTAAAGTGTATAAAACAAGTGGACATAAATGTAGGTGTACATATAAACACATATTCATCTATACGCTACTTTAAATGAAGCAGAATATGCACAAAGAGTGGCCAAGCAACTAATTCATGTATTGTTCATGTTTTATACCTAGAAACCACTCTGCAGATGTAATTGCTTATCCTGCTGTTCGCTCACTGCAGCTGCTGTAACTTCATAAAACTTGAGTGTATGAGCTTCGTACTTACTTAAACTAATGTAAACTAAAGTAATTAACTCTTCCTCCACCTGCAATTCCAAAGCAGGACTTGGAAATTGTGCATAGTTCTTTCTCATCAAGTATTGATATCACAAGCACTTATTGCTCGGGCAATCAGAGGAAGAAAGGTTACCGTCTATGCTTGTGCATATTCATATGCATGACTTGTGCTTATTCTTTGTGTCTCACCCTTTGATTCCCCAGCACATCAATGGGCTCACAGAGGACCCCACTGAGCACAGCCCACGGTAGGGAGGCACTCTAATGTGGTTCACTGTCTTATCACAATGGCCCAGATAAGGCAGGTGGGCTTCCCAGCTGGGTTTCCTGAAAAGGGATGCCTAGAAAGGATTGGTTAAATCTCAGCACTCTCCAGGAAACTTTTGAGCTCTTCCTGTAATGTCTCTGTTTCTTTTAAGGCCCTGTCCCAGGCTGGTGAGTGATGCCAACCCCGTTATTTTGTACAGGCTCCATGCTCTCACCTGCCTGATAAGTACAAGGGCTCATGCTAGACGCGTCCCCTGGTCTTGCCTGGGCCAAGCCTGGCTACAGCACAGAGCTGCCAATAGTGCTGCCCTAGCTTACAGCCCCAGCAGTCACAGTGGATTTCTGCCCCAATTTGCCTTCATTTATTTCATATGGTTT